AAATTTAACCGGGACATCCTGAATTTTGACTTGCTAAAAGTAGCAACTGTAGTTCAGGAACCAGCGGGAGCAAAGACAGAAGAAGCACTAGCAGGAAGAAGGAGTGATGACTATGCTGGTCGGGAGCCCCAGGGCTCCAGGCTTCAGCAGCCACGATGGATTCGATCCACAGGTCCTGATTTAGCTCAGGAGCACAGACCCCCTGCAGCAAGTGCCAGCACTCGGCCGTTGCTCTTAGCTGCTGTGCCAGCTCCTTCTTCCCAGGACCACCTCATCACCAGCTGGAGAAACCCAGTGCCAAATTGCTTTTTCTTCTTTCCCAAGCGTCTGCAACCAGCCCCTTCCCTTGGGTTAAGCTACTTATTCATCCATTTGCTGACTGCCAGTCCTGCACCAGGCCTTGTGCTTGGCCCTGGGGATGCATGCACTTATAGAACAGACAGAGCCCTTGGATAAATGAAATGTACAACGCACACCTTTGTAAAACCTCTTTTGACAGTATATGGGATGAGTGGGAGTAAGCAGTAAAAAACGTATATGTAAAAACATACAAACAACCATTTCTCCTATCCTTTTCTTTCTTTCTTTCTTTCTTTTTTTTAAAAAAGAAATAGCTATGTCAGAGAAAGGAAACTTCTGAGCCAGAGGCCTCCCCTGGAAATCTCAACTCCTGCATCTCCAGTGTGGAGTCAGAACAACTGAGCACTCAGAGCTCCCCCTGGCATTTGTCACGTGCCCTGGGAGCAGGACTCTGTTGGAAGGTACAGGCAGTAGGTGACTGTCCCAGACCCCAGATGCTAGGCTGATGTGGGACCCAGAGTGCATATGACAGATAGAAGCACCACTGTCTCCCCAATCCCCAGCCACCTTAATAGACACTTAATTAGAAACACAAATTGGTAACAATAGGACCATTATTTCTCTCAAGGTTAATGATGGCCTCCAAGTGTCAGGCATGTACTGTACATGCTCTGAGCACCTCTCATGCCATTTAGCATCTGCGCCGAAACAATCCTGTTTTATAGTAGATGCTATTATTGGCCCCTCTTGGCAGCTGAAGAAATGACAGCTCAGAGAAAGTGGGAAACATGCCCAGGGTTCGACAGCTGGCAAGAGGCAGAGCCAGGTCTGAAGTCAGGGCTTCAAGACTGCAGACCCCCCAAATGTAATTACAGCACTAAAGACCTGGAAGGATGGTCTGTGCACTGAGGTCTGGAATTGCCCACGGGTAAACACAAATGTGTGTGCCTTTCCACAAGTGTGTTTGCATCCACAGCTGGGAACTGGTCTCAGCCAACCCGTTCACTGGTTAAGGGCTTTGATTAGGCCGACTCTTTGTGACCCCATGGAGACTATACAATCCATGGAATTCTCCAGGCCAGAATACTGGAGTGGGTAGCCGTTCCCTTCTCCAGGAGATCTTCCCAACCCAGGGATCAAATGCAGGTCTCCCGCATTGCAGGTGGATTCTTTACCAGCTGAGCCACAAGGAAAGACTTTGATTAAGCAAGGAGACTTTAAGTAAATTATTTATAAGTTGGAGATGCAAACTTTCCCTCATTGTTCTGTTCACTGTCTGGTTTGTAAGCTCTAGGGCAGTAGTTCTTACAATGCAGTGCCCACACCAGCCGCATCAGCATCCCAGCACCTGGGAGCTTATTTTGTGTCTGTGCACACGTGTGTGTACGCTCAGTCATGCCTGACTTTTTGCAACCCCATGGGCTATAGCCCACCAGACTCCCTTTTACATGGGACTTCCCAGGCAAAAATACTGGAATGGGTTGCCATTGCCCTCTCCAGGGGATTTTCCCAACCCAGGGATCAAACCTGGGTCTCCGCACCACGGGCAGATACCTTACCACTGAGCCACCTGGGAAGCCTGGAAGAAAGCACATTTTTCTGGGACTTCCCTGGTGGTCCAGTGGTTAAGATTCAGCCTTCCAATGCAGGGGGCATGGGTTCAATCCCTGGTTGGGGCATTAAGATCCCACACGCTGCTTGGTGTGGCCAAAACATAAAAAAGAAAGAAAAGAAATGAACATTTTCTGGTCCCACCCATGACGGCCACTGAATCAGAAGCTCTGGCGCTCAGCCACTTGCCGCGCTCCGGTGTTTCTGATGTTCCCTCAAATCTGAGAACCACTATTCTAAAAGGATTATGCTTTCCAGCTGCTGCCATTTCTAGGCCCTTTGCTCTACTGATGGCCAGGAGACAGCCAGCCATAAGGGGCTTGGGGCTGGGACTAGGGCTCTCTGGGCCCAGTGTGTGACATGTGAGAGATACATAATACGTGAATTTTGGATAATGAATATCTGGCACCCACGGTTCACATCTCTGTCACCACGTCAGGAGGGGACTGTCACTAGGATGACACTTTGGCTGCCAGTGCAACACCAGGTTCCTCAGTGGCTCAGGCAGGCCCGAGGCACCCTGAAGAACAGAGGGCAAATTTTTACTTCCGCTCAGGATGCACACAGACCTCGAGAGGGCTGAGCATGCTTCTGACCTTTGGAATTTTGAGCAGGAGGTATCAAAAGGGTTAAAAATTACCACAGGGACAACTGGCCTATCTAGCAGTATGCTGATAACCCAGCTCTCTGAGGAAGAGGTCCTGGCCTGCAGCATTTGTGATTGCCTTGATGTAAATACGTTGGATCATAGAAAAAAAGCAAGAGAGTTCCAGAAACACATCTACTTCTGCTTATCGACTACGCCAAAGACTTTGACTGTGTGGATCACAAAAACTGTGGGAAATTCTTCAAGAAATGGGAATACAGACCACCTGACTTGCCTCCTGAGAAATCTGTATGCAGGTCAAGAAGCAAAGACATGGAACAACAGACTGGTTCCGAATCGGTAAAGGAGTACGTCAAGGTTGTATATTGTCACCCTGCTTATTTAACTTATGTGCAGAGTACATCATGTGAAATTCCAGCCTAGATGAAGCACAAGCTGGAATCAAGATTGCCAGGAGAAATATCAATAACCTCAGATACGCAGATGACACCACCCTTATGGCAGAAAGCGAAGAGGAACTAAAGAGTCTCTTGACCTCTTGATGAAAGTGAAAGAGGAGAGTGAATAAGTTGTCTTAAAACTCAACATTCAGAAAACTAAGATCATGGCATCTGGTCCCATCACTTCATGGCAAATAGATGGGAAAACAATGGAAACAGGGAGAGGTTTCATTTTGGGGGGCTCCAAAATCACTGCAGATGATGACTGCAGCCATAAAATTAAAAGATGCTTGCTCCTTGAAAGAAAAGCTATGACCAACTTAGATAGCATATTAAATAGCAGAGACATTATTTTGCCGACAAAGATCCATCTAGTCAAAGCTATGGTTTTTCCAATAGTCATGTATAAATGTGAGAGTTGGACTATAAAGAAAGCTGAATGCCGAAGAATTGATGCTTTTGAATTGTGGTGTTGGAGAAGACTCTTGAGAGTCCTTGGACTGCAAGGAGCTCAAACCAGTTAATCCTAAAGGAAATCAGTCCTGAATATTCATTGGAAGGACTGATGCTGAAGCTGAAGCTCCAATACTCTAGCCCCCTGATGAAAAGAACTGACTCATTTGAAAAGACCCTGATGCTAGGAATGATTGAAGGCAGGAGAAGGGGTCAACAGAGGATCGGATGGTTGGATGGCATCATCGACTTGATGGACATGAGTTTGAGCAAGCTCTGGGAGTTGGTATTGGACAGGGAAGCCTGGCGTGCTGCAGTCCATGGGGTTGCTAGGAGTTGGACATGACTGAGTGACTGAACTGAACTGATGTCTTTAAATAATCATAGCAGCACTCATCTAGTGTATTGCTCTCAGGACAGGTACTGTTAGACCTGTTTTACTCATATTAATGATTGAATCCTCACAGCCCTCTGGGAGAGGTTCTATTTTCATTCCCATTTTATAGATGAGAAAACTGAGGCACAGAGAACTTAAGTAATTTGCCCAAGCTAGTAAAAGGCAGAGACAGGATTTAAATGCAGACAGCGTGGCTCCAGAGTCCACGCTTTTAAGCCACGTGCGGAAAGTCACTTAGCGTGGAGCAACAGTTATGGGGGGGATGAACAAAGGAAAATACATATGTTAGCAAGCTGGCACCTATTTGTTTTGATTGCCCTTTTGGTAAGCAAGGCAGAGTAAGGGTAGTGTCTCCACAAGCCTGCCCCTGCCCTCTCAGGTAGACTGGGCTGGAATGGCTCAGGGCCCTGCCCACCATTAGAAATATGGCAGGCAAGAGTTGCTGAAGGTCTGAGGTCCAAATAGCATTTACACTTGCATGTAAATGCTATTTACCTGGGTCCATGAAGACCCAGGTTCTTCCATGAAGCTGTGTCTGCTGATGCAGGCTCTTCTTCCCACCCATTCATCCTGTATAGCACTTAATGGGCCTTTTCAAAGTGTAAGGTTTGAATCTTTTTTTCAGATTTGGGAAACTTCCTTATTTATTTGATGATTTCTCCCTTTATTTTCTCTCTTGGATATTGGGCTTCTTGCATTGATTCTCTCTTTCTTTGGGGCTCACATTTTGGAAGATTGGTTCACCTTTTCCTTCTAGGCCCTATTCAGTATTTTATGTTAGCAATCACGGTTTTAATTTCCAAGAACTTTTCTTCTTTATTTTTATTTATTTATTTATTTTTTGCTTTTTAAAAAACCATGTTTCAGTCTCTTTATTCTTAAGTCTGCACTTTACAAAACCACAAGGGAGAAGTCTTTGAGGGTGAAAGGGGTGGGGAGGGGAGGGGGTGAGGACGACCCAGAAACGAAGGCCCCCTCTCATCTGGGGGACCAAGCAGAGACTGGGCCCCAGGCAAGCCCAGCAGGGCCTCTCATGTTCTGGCTGTATAGAGTTAGGCCAGAAGATGTCAGGGAAGGGACTGCTGCCATTTGACATTAGCTAGGCAGCCACAGACTGAAGCTTCTGGAAGCCCAAAGGAAGTGGGCCTCCCTCTCCCAGGCCAGGGGAAGGCAGCCTGAGCAGGGGTGACAGCTACCCATCCAGCAGCTTCAGGATGCTCTCACGCTCCTTCAGAGTCTTCCAAGCTTGGTCTTTCTCCTTCTTGGCGGGGGTCCGTTTCTTCTGCCGGGCAGCCATGATCTTGCGGAAGGCATCCATGACCTCATTGTCTGCCATGCGGACCCGCTGCCTCAGCTCCTGCCGGCTCACTTCCCCCTTCGCCAGCCTCAGCAGGTCGTGCTTCTTGGTGCGCTTGTGGGCACCGAGCGCCTTCAGCTCAGCCTGCCGCTTGCGCAGCTCCGCCAGAACCCCGTCCTCCGAGTCCTCTGCGGGGCGGTCCTCAGATCCCAGCAGGCCCTGGGCAATCAGCTCCCCCTTGATGTGGCTCTCCAGGGACTTAGTATGAGGCGCGCTGCAGGGCTTGTTCTGATTGCGGGGAGAGGTGCTTGCCCCATCTGCCCCCGATTCTTTCCCAGACATGTCTGGGATAGGAGAGTCCTCCATGGGGGAAATAATATTTTCCTCCACCAAGGCCTGCAGCAGGCGCTGTGTCAGGGCACCAAAGGGACACCCGTCTTCTGGCTGCTCATGCTGGGCCTCAGACTTCTTCAGCAGGGCATCCACATTTTTAGTGTCCAGTTCGGTCAGGGGCCCCATGAGGCCTTTCTTCTTGTCAGCCACGGCTGCTGCCCGGGCCCCGTCCTTCTGCTCCTCCAGCAGGTCCTCCTGTGCCCAGTGCTGGGAGTAGTGCTTCCCCAGGGGCGGAATCTTGTAATGTTCAGCCTCATCTTCTGGGGGTTTCAGTAGCTCCTCTAGCGTGCGCACTTCCTCACTGGTGATATCAGCACAGTACGGCTCCACCGAAGCCCAGAATCTGTTGCGGGTGTCATTCTTGGGGATACGTGGCACATCAATTGGGTCATCAGTGAATTCATATTCCTGGATCTTGGGCTGAAGGTTTTTGGATTTGGGTCGCCCAGGGCCAGGGCCAGGCCCATGTCCCGCCTTCCCTTCCAGTTTCTGCTTCTTGGGCTTCCCATGTTTGGGGGGATCTCCAAGCTCATGGTCTCGACCCAGCTTCAGGAATCGTCGGTCACCTTTCTTATCCTGCCAGTCAGTGAGGATCTGGGTTTCAGCCTCAAGCACCCGCAGGCGCCGGCTGGCAGAGGAGAACAGGGTCTCAAGCTCCAGCTGCAGGGTGTCCAGCTCCTCGATGCCGATGCCGTCATCCTCAGAGCGCGCCAACACCGCTGTGTAGCGGGGACAGACTTTCAGGTGGTCCACAGACTTGAAGTCGTGGACCTGCAAGGGGCAGTCCTCCAGCTCACTCATGGCTCAGGACAGGGGACCCTGTGGTGCTCCCTGGGATGTTCTGAGGTTTTAGAGTTGATGCCAGTCAAGAGCTCAGTTCAGTGCCCTAGGGAACCGCCCGGCGCTGGAGGGCAGGGCTCGGCAGCCAGGTTTTCGGCCGGGCAGTTAGTCTTGCGGAGCCCCAAAGGCTGCAGAACTTTTCTTCTTTGATTGTTCCTTTCCCTCATCACTTGGTTGGGGCTTAGAGAGGCAATCCACACTGGATTGCTCTGAAGTTACAAGTAAGAATTATCTTAGAGTTCCCTGAATTTGTCACCTTTCCTGGGGAGCCAGGGGTTCTGCCTTCTTATCTTGATTTTTCCACATTCTGGTTTTTCTGCTCTTTGAAGCTTGAGCACATTAAGGATCCATCTGCCCCAGCTATACTCACCGGGTCCCTACTCTGTCTCCACGTGAGGCATGGGGCCTGGGGCCGGGAATGTGAGGGTAAGAAGTCTCTGTCTTCATGGAGTTCCCACTTCACAGCAGACTCTCACGGTATCAACACACCAGATTCACTAAGCATTGGCCCACCCTGTGTTTTGCATACTCCACAGTATATTTTTCACATTTTGGTTTCTTGTCTGTTGGCTCAACTAGATTGAACAAGGGCTCATGTTTTCTATGTTTATTCCAAGGTTCCAAGGAGACCCCGATTGTTGATATACTTACACACACACACACACACACACACACACACACACACTGGTGCTGTAGAGGTGTGCTTCTGGAAGGATAGAAAAGACCATAACCAAATGGCATTCCTCTGGAAGGATTTGCAGAGACGTGGGGAATCAGAGTAACCCCAAGCCCACTGCCACCCATTCCCATGCACCCATGACTCACTTTCTAAACAAACACTAAGGTCACCATTGCCACTTCTTTCTCTAGTGGATGCAACAGTCATCTCTGGCCCGCAGTGTCTCACCATCTCACCTTCTGCCTTATAAAACCTGAAAACCCACAGTTCTATAAACAGACATTAAAGGACAGTGGGGGTCGGGTGGGGCGGGGGTAGGGGGAGGAATGCACTGACCAGGAGGTCTCTACTGCTCTCCCAGAGTTGGAAGTCTCCTTCTATAGGACAATGGGCCACGGAACCAGAACCTCAATTCATTCATTTATTTGTGGATGCCTTCATTCATTCAGCAGGTAATTCTTTATTAAGGAAATATTATATATTAGACTTAGTACCAGGCTCTAGAAAGTTAAAAATATAATATGGTGCCCTCCTTACAGATTTCAGGAGTTCACAGTCTAGGAGACCAAGTCATGTGACAGTCTTCCTGGGGTGAGCAGCCTATCCTGACCACATCGAATGAATGAATGAGTGAATGAATAAACAAATGAGTAGAAATACTTGGCTTGGTGAGGATACATCCAGCTTCTTCCCCTGGGAGGACGCTGGGCCAACCAAGAATCCCCATGAGAGTCTGAGACCCTGGACAAGCAGAGACCAAAACTCCACAGCCTCCAGCCTCCTAGCAGCATCCACCCTGGAGGAGGGCCTGGCTCGTGGCCCAGGCGCCTGGTTGGGGAGGGCTGGGCCAGTTAAAATCTGGATCAAAGAGACAAAGAGGAATGCAGAGTTTCATTAACAGAGGAACCAGACAGCCAGGCCAGGCCAGGGCGGGGGAGGCTTTAGGTGCTGGGAGTTGCTACTAACAAGTGTCAGGGTTAAAGGAAGAAAAGCCATGTGTTAGCATTAGGGTCAGGGCCCTCTGAGTTGCCAGTTTCAAAGCCGGGGGCGGTGGTCAGCAGAGAGGAGTCCCAGGCTTCCTCGGGGCATTCAGCCCAGGTGTGGTCCCAGAGCCAGACTGGGCAGTGGAGTCCCTGGTCAGTGAGGAGTGACATTGAAATTCCCCATTTTCCTGGTTTCCCTCATCGGTCAGACAGCCCTCATAGCCCTGGTCGATCCTCCCGCGGCTTCCCGGCTTCCCGTGGGAGTGGCGGCTTCCCGGGGAGTGGGGGCTTCCCGGGGAGTGGGGATGCCCTTGCTCAGAGAAGTCTTTTCTGGGTGGTGGGCTTGGGCTGTGGACCCCGAGTTTGGTGAGGCAGTCTTGGTGCAGTCTGGAGCTCAGACCAGGAATTCAGAAGAGGGACCTTCTTCATCCAGGATGCAGGAGAAAGCTGCAGGAAACCATGGACTGCAGAGGGCTCTGGGAGATGGGGGTGGGGTGGGGTTGGGGTGGCGGAATCTGGGGGCTGAGTGAGCCCAGGCCCAGTAGACGCCTCCCCTCCCAACTCCCCAGGGCGGCTCTTGGCAAGAACGCGGGCGGGCAGGACAATGGGAGGACGGAAGAATGTGCTGGCCCGGTTGCACGGGAGTCCGAGGCTGGGACTCCAGCCCTGCGAGCATCCAGGAACTATTTCAGAAGCAGGCTTTGTGTGTGTGGGGCCAAGGCTGTTGGGCCTGGGCGGTGTGGCCCAGGCCACGGGGCGTGCCGGCAGGAAGGCCTGGTCCTGGGGTGGATGAGCCGCCCGGGCTAGGAAGCTGTGGGTGGAGGCGGGGACCCGGAGGCCCAGCGGTAACAAAGGTTACAAAGCTCTGTCTGTGGGAGGCTCTTGGGAGGACTCAGGAGGGTGGGTGGATAGGTTTCCTGGGTCTCCTCGTTGAAAAGCTTGGAGGGGCTTGTTTGCCAAACACCGGGAAGCCCTGGGTTTCTGGCTAATCAGGCTGGAGAGTTCCACCTGGCTCGTGGTTACGGGGTGTGGGCAGCACAGACTGCAGTGGAGACTCGGGGATATTGCTCCCCAGAGACCCAGACCCTCTGTCCTTGTGATGAAAAGAAATGCATTCAAGAAAAGAGCACTGACTTGGGGAGTTCCTCCCACTTTGCCAGTTTCCCCTGAGAAGTCTGCCTTTCCCCCTTCCCTAGGTCCATCTCTGCCTGCCCAGCAACCCCAGACAACCCCAATCCTGCCGAGTGAGGGCTGCAGGGGTGTCCACCCCAACCTGAGCCCCAGGGGAGCCCCAGGGGAGCCCCGGGGAGGGGGCAGCAGGGGAGGCCACAGCGAAGAAAGGGTGGCTCCAAAGAGATTTCTGGTGGGGGCCCAGGCTGGCCTGCCAAGGCGGGCCCCTCCCTGCCCCGGCCAGAGTGGGGAGGCCCTCAGGGAAATTCCTCTGCCTCCCGAGCCTCCAGCTGTCTCCCAGGGCAGGAGAGGGCAGAGTCTACTTCCTCCACACGCTTGGAAACAACCAGGGACAAGGTCCTGCCTCAGCTCTAGACGCCCGCCCCTGCTCAGGCTGTGAGTGCGTGTGTGCGCGTGTACGTCTGCGGTGTGTGAGTGCACGTACGTGAACGTGTATGTCAGTGTGTGATGTATGTGCAGATGAGTGAGCCTGTGAGCCTGTGTGTACTCTTTATGAGTGGTGGGTGTGAGTGTGTAAGGAGCCCCCCGCCCCAGCCTGTCAGTTTTGAATTGGTCCTCATGCCGTCCTGGAGCAATGAGGGTTGATGAGACGGAGAGGCCATGTTTCCAGCGGGTCCAGTTTTGGGCTTCAGGAGCTCGTTTCTCAGTTCCCTAGAGAGAGAGTCCTTTCTGGTTAAAAGGACGCACAGCTCCCAGCCTTTGCCCCTCTGGCCCATCCCAGAGTGTGCGTGTTCCCATGGCCACAGAACACCGTGGGGGTCACTGCACATCATGGGGCTCTGGGGGGCTCCGCGGAGCCGACCCCAGGGACACACCCCTCACTGGGCCTAGGTGGTTTCTGCCTCTGGATGAAGGTGCTCTCATCCTGTGAGGATTCCGGACGTGGCTTTGGAGCCTTTGCCAGGAGCACGGCAGACGCCAAGTGGCCCCCTTGGGAGCTGCTTCCACAGCCCTAGTCACTGGGGCCTCTGTTCCGCTCAGCTCCACATAAGACAATGGGTGAGGACAGCTGGCCCACAGAGCCCTGCGACAGAACTGTCTGTGGGTTTTGTAAAAACCCAGATTTCTAGGCCCTAGTTTCCCAGGTGGCGCCCATGGTAAAGAACCTGCCTACCAACACAGGAGACATAAGAGACACGGGTTCAGTCCCTGGGTCGACAAGATGCCCTGGAGAAGGGAATGGCTACTCATTCCAGTATTCTTGCTGGAGAATCCCATGGACAGAGGAGTCTGGCGGGCTACAGTCCATGAGGTCGCAAAGAGCCGGACACGACTGGAGTGACTTAGCACGCCTGCACATCTCGCGTGTATGGAGTCAGAGCTCACAGTGTGGGGCCTGGGATCTGCCTTCTTACCAGGGACTCCAGGCGCTTTTGCTATTTAGCCAGCTTGCGGGCACTGGGCCAGGAGACCAGGGGCTGGCCAGGTCGGAAAAGCGTGGCGAGCTCGGGCGGTGGCCTCCCCCAGTCCTCACGGTCCCCGGAGCTGGGTGCCCCAGCGTGCCCTTCCTTCGCCTCTGAGTCGAGTCAGAAATCCTCGGGGAGCCTTGGGCAAGGTGAGCGAGCTGCGCCCTTCAGTCTGTCCCCTTTGGACGGGCCAAGCAGCTGCTCTCGCCAAAGTGGCCCAGGCTGGGGCTGAGAAGGCCGGGACAGCGCTCAGGCCGCAGCTCCGCGCTCACCGAGGAGTGACGGCTGGTCTGGGCGCCTTGACTTTCTTTGCCCCAGGCGGGTTGGCCCGTGAGGGAGCCAGTCACCCGGCCCGGCTGCCAGGAACGGCCCTGACAAGATGGCAGCCGGCCAGCCTCCAGTGTTGTTTGGCTCCGGGGGACGGCTCTCTCCCACAGGAAGCCTTTCATCTCCATGGTGGTAATCGTGAGTTCAGAGGGACTAGCCTCCCACTCCAGGGAGCTCAGTGGGATTGTGCAACCCAGGCCTTTGCGAGGCGAACCCCTTTTATCTGCCAAGTGTCCTGTTGTCCGTGAGGCCTGGGCAGACTACACGTATCCCCCTGTGTACATGCCATTTGGTTGGGGCTCTGGGAATCAGAATCGGTGGACAAAACAAGATTGGCGTTGCAGAGTTGCGGGGAGCGTGGCTTAGGCTGGGGGTGGGCAGCTGAAGGGCCCATAGTCATCTGGGGGGAGGGTGGTGCTTTCCAGAAAGTTTCCCTGCTCTCCACAGCCAGCCTCAGACACTGCCACACTCCAGAGGGGGAGACTCTCAAGAATGGGGATTCCCTTAGATGGGGTGGGAACTATGCTTTTTAAATTCTCTGTTCAGGACTTAAAATGGAGAAGGGAATGGCTACTCACTCCCGTATTCTTGCCTGGAGGATCCCACGCACGGAGGAGCCTGGCAGGCTACAGTCCCTGGGGTCACAAAGAGTCAGACACAATTGAGCAACTAACACACACACAGGGCTCAGTAGGTCTCAACAGGGGCTTCTTCATAAGCACCAGCTCCCTGTCTCTTCCTCAAAGAGCGGAGTCTGGGGAGATGCTCCATCTGACTGACCCCAAGGCGAGGGGAGGCCAGGTTAAGGGGACTCCACTCCCAGAGAAGCCGGCATGGAGGGTATCTCTTCGTGGCTAAACAACCCTGCAGGGAACACTTACTCACGCACTCATTCCTTCAACACACCTTTACTAAGGGCTTCTTTTAAAAATTCTATTTATTTAACTATTTTATTTTGGCTGCACTGGGTCTCTGTTGCTGCGTGCGGGCTTTCTCTGGCTGCGGCGAGCAGGGGCTGCTCTCTAGCTGCAGTTGCACTTGTAGGGCTTCTTGTGAGGGCCTCTCTTGTTGTGGAGCACAGGCCCTAGGGTGCACAGGCTTCGGAAGTTGTGGCACACGGGCTTTAGTTTCTCTGTGACATTTGGGGTGTCTTCCTGGACCAGGGGTCAAACACTGGCAGGCAGATTCTTAACCACCGGACCACCAGGCAAGTCCAACCGAGGGTTTCTTAGGCGTTCCAGCCTCCGGGGAACAGCAGTGGACAAGAGGCAGAGTCTTTGTTCTTTCAGAATTTACATTCCTATGGGAGAGAGGGGAGGTAGGAAATTAAGATGCTAATACATAATGTCGTGTGAGTTAGAGAAACGGGCTATGATTAAGTTAAGGCAGAGTAAAGACGGGAAAGAGAAGGCCAATTTCTGACCCTGCAGGGCAGGGAACACTCACTCACTCATTCCTTCAACACACCTTTACTAAGGGCTTCTTTTAAAAATTCTTATTTATCTAATTATTTTATTTTTGGCTGCACTGGGTGGTTGGCTCAAGAAGGGCTGTCTTATTGCACCTTTTCCCTGATGTTAAAAACATGCTGTAGTCTGTCATGGTTCCCACCACTTGAAGTTCTTAGAAAGCAGAGGTTAAAGCTCCCATTGACCCCTTCTTTGTCCCCTCACTACCCCTTTCACACACAACTTTCCCGAGAATCAAACAGTCCTCTATCTAAATTTACCAACCATAAGCCACAGAACTGTTACAATGTGATAAAAATTGGCAGGTTGATGCTGTATCTGTTACCTTTAAGGCCACTTCATTTAAACCTGGGGCTGATGGCAAGTTCCACTCATATCACCACGGGATTTAGGCCACTCAAAAAAGCGACTTATAGTTGGTAAATTTGGACATAGGAACATTTGATTCTCAGGAAATCTTTTAACTTTTGCTCTCCTGAATGGACACTTTTTGGGCTTCTCTGGTAGCTCAGCTGGTAAAGAATCCGCCTGCAATACAGCAGACCCAGGTTCGATTCCTGGGTTGGGAAGATTCCCTGGAGACATGATAGGCTACTCACTCCAGTACTCTTGGACTTCCCTGGTAGCTCAGCTGGTAAAGAATCCGCCTGCAATGTGGTTCGATCCCTGGATTAGGAAGATCCCTTGAAGGAAGGCATGGCAACCCACTCCAGTATTCTTGCCTGGAGAATCCCATGGACAGAGGAGCCTGGCAGGCTACAGTCCATGGGGTCACAGAGAGTCGGACACAACTGAGCAATTAAGTACACATGGACACTTTGGGATCTTCCCTGCCTGGTCCCTGGCTTTCAGGAGGATGGAGGGCAATGTGTGATTTGTGATACGAGAAGGTCTGTCCGGAGGCCAGTCAGCCAGAGTTGATACTGGACGCTGCCAGACTAATGGGCTTTCAATCAGGGTGCAGTGACTGCTTTCCTGGAGAGGCAGGAGGTGTGGTGGATTTAGAAGCAGAGTTGGAGCTGGAGCCCTTGCCGCCCTGTCATTTTGGGGGTGGGGGGGGCCAGACCCAGGACCGAATCCTGACACCACTTACTAGGTTCCCTCTGTTTCTCTGAGCCCCAATTTTCTCATCTGTAGGCTAGGATCTTTATCTCAGAAAACTGTAGGCCCCTGGCTTATGTGAGTCGCTTGATAAGTGACACTGGCTGCGGCTCCTTTGGCAAATTGCTTAATATCTCTCAGCTTTGATTCTCCATCTGTGAGAGCAAGACATCAGTACCCTGGCCTCGCAGGGTTATTGTGAGGATGGGAAGATATCTGTAAAATTGCCTGTCACGGGGACTGGGGTTCAACAATGTGTGTCGAGTCTACAGTGGGAGCTTGTCCCAGAGTGAGCAGGCAGGCGGGCAGGTGTGCAGAGGGTCACGTGCTGCCCACGCAGCGCTCCGTGCCCCAGGGGACGGGGCTTCTTCCCTGGTCTCCGACTTAGCCAATGAAGGGACAGGATGGGAGGGGGAGTGGGAAGATGGATTTTGTGGATGTTTTTGCTGATTTAAATTCTGCTTTCAGGCATTTCCCAGGTGGCTCGGTGGTAAAGAGCCCACCTGCCAATGCAGAGGGCACAGGTTCAACCCCTGGTCCGGGAAGACATCGCAGATGCCCTCAGAGCAAATAAGTTCGTGGGCCACCACTCCTGAGCCTGCGCTCTAGAGCCTGGGAACCAAAATCATCGAGCGCACATGCCTGAGAGCCCCATGTTCCCCAACAAGAGAAGACATCGCAATGAGAAGCCCCCACACACCAAGAAAGAGGAGCCCCCCGCTCGCCACAACTAGAGAAAACCAGGGCTGCAAGGAAGACCCAGCACAGTCAAAAATAAATAAATAGTAAATAAGTTAAAATTATTTTTAAAAAATGTTCTGATTTCAGAATTAGAACTGACAGCGTCTGCAAGGCACCAGCTGAACGATCTTGTGCTCGGAGGAGGGCCAGGCGGGAAGTACCAGAGGCTGGTGAAAAGCGCAGTGTCACAGCTCCCAGCTCCCCTTCCCCTGCCGAGCGATGGTTCTGCTCCCCCACGTTCATCATTAGCCCTTTCCATCTGCTGACTCATTCTCACACAGCTCCAGCCCCGGAAAGCTGAGTGTGTGGAAGGAGGCCTATTAATAGCCTTTTCCTGGGACACTCATCCCGGCTATTTCTAAGACTGTGTGAAGGCAAGTAAAGAGGCCCTGCCCCTCATCCTTGCCCCCCACCCCACCAGCCTGCTCCTCGGAGATGAGCCGTGATAGTTGCAGGTGTGGGTAGGGGGGCGGGTGCCCAGCAGGCTCTGAAACGTCTGTTTTGTCCCGTCTACATTTGTCAAGATTTCAAAATGGTGGCCTGTCCGTTTTGGTCAGAGGGCGCCAGGCGTGGGAGTGGTCCTCTGCAGGGGCTGACAGAGGGCTCCACGAGGCACCCCACACATGGAGCAGGTGAGCGAGAGGATGCAGGACAAACCCCGGCGGAGGGCAGAGAGCCACGGGGCGGAAAGCCGCAGTGCCAGCCAGCAGGGCTGGGTTTGCCTGCGGAGGGGCTCTGTGGGCCCCGCTTGGCACACAGGCCGCAGAGCCCAGAGGGCACCCGGCCTGTGCACGGCATGCTGGCCGTGGTGCCCGAGGCAGCCTCCCCAATGGAAGGAAAGTTACATGACTCAAAACAGCCTGGAGTTAAAACTTCCCTCTGGGTCCTCCCCACCACTCTATGCAAAACAAAGACGTCTCTCACCCGAAGAAAAAAAATTGGACATTAATGTTGATGACGCCCAGCTCCCAGCTGGTCCAGTCTCTGGCCGATCTCCAGAATTCCTTGCCCCAGCCGTTTTTAAGAGATAACTACTCCGAACAACCTTGGAGAAGAACAGGCCCCCTTAAGACAGCAGAGTTCCACATATATGCCTATATATACTTACTCTTGGAGAAGGCAATGGCACCCCACTCCAGTACTCTTGCCTGGAAAATCCCATGGATGGAGGAGCCTGGTAGGCTGTGGTACATGGGGTCGCTAAGAGTCGGACACAACTGAGCGACTTCCCTTTCACTTCTCTCTTTCAAGCATTGGAGAAGGAAATGGCAACCCACTCCCGTGATCTTGCCTGGAGAATCCCAGGGACGGGGAATCCTGGTGGGCTGACGCCTATGGGGTCGCACAGAGTCGGACATGACTGGAGCAGCTTAGTTTAGCTTAGCTTATACTTATTCTTTCGTTGGGTTAGTGCTGCTGCAGCTGCTAAGTCACTTCAGTCACGTCCGACTCTGCGCGACCCCACAGACGTCTGTGCAGCAGCTCACTAGTGTGACTGCTGCCCCTTCTCGCCTCATTAAAGGTGATCGTTTCCTGTAAAGTGCCGATCTTGTTCTTTCTCCGAACCGTGCCTTCTCTCACTCCCTAACCCTACGTTGACCACAGCCAGACAGCGCGGCCTGCTTCGGAGGCATCGTCTGCGACAGTGAAGGGTGTCTCTGGGTGGAACAGAATCTGCCGGAGGGCAGACGGAGGCCCTGGCCTGAGGAGCTCAGAGGAGGTCCAGCTTCTTGGACGTGGTGTTGGGATGTGGCCGGTGCACTCTCTGAGGGGGCCTTTAAGAGGGGCGGCTGAATAAGAGGCAGTCCAGAGAACTG